GAAAGAAAGATAAAATCTAATGCTTTTAAATGAATTCTAAGTTGAAAACATGTCAGAAAGATAAATAAATCTTTGAAAATTGACTTTATTTCCATATACAAATCATTGCTATCTTTCCACTGTCTTTGTGGCCAAATCTAAAAGCTTTATGGCAGTTCACCATAGGCAACTTTGTTGTTAAATCACTTATTGTCTTGACTCATTTTGTAATGCTTTATCTAAAACATGAAATTTAAGGACAGATATTATGTGCAGATGGATGTCTTCTCTATCTCAGGAGGAACAAAAATGATTAGACTCTTTCATAAAAAATTATTATACTTCCTAAATATATTAAGACTCACTTGTCTGCTATATTTAAAAAGGCTTCCTATTATAATTAAAATGAACTCTAAACTACTTAACATGGCTTACAAAGCCCTGCACTATATGGCTAATGCCAGCCTCCATGGACCAGTCCCCTTTGCTTCTACACTCAGCCACTGGCCTAGAAGGCACTCTGTTTTTAGCTGCCTGAGGGCTTTTGCTCACTGGTTTTCTTTTCCTGAAACATTCTTTCCCTTACTTTTCACCTGGCTCACTTGTACCCGTCTTTAGCTCCTATTTTCAGTGTCACTTCTCAGAGAGTCCTTCCTTAATACCCAATCTGAAAAAGATTCTTTTGTTATCTTTTAAAGAATCCTGTTATTTTCCTTACCTCAATTTGTAATTATACAAACATGTATTTACTTCTTAAACATCTATCTCCCCAACTTATAGAATGGAAGATCTATGAAGACCAAGATTCATGACTGTCTTTTTCACCACTGTTTATACCCAGTTGTTTAGCACAGTGCCTGACCATACTAGGAGGTCTCTAAATAGCCATTGAATGAGAGCAGTGTAAGTTATGTGTCTTAAAAGAAAATCTTAAAACATTTTAAAGACTTAATTACTTTTTTCAATGTTTTTCTTTCCTTTTAACTAAGGTATAATTAAGAGTAAAATGTATATACATCTAAGGTGCATAGTTTGAGTTTTGATGAATGCATACACCCATGTAACCTACACCCCAAAAATACATAAATTACTTCCATAATCCTAGAAAGTTCCATCATGCCCATTTTCAATTAATTCCCTGCCCCAGAGGCAACTACTTTTCTGATTGTCACCATCAGACCTTGAGGATGTTTCAGAACCTTAGTAGGAGGGGAAACCATGCAAATTTGGTTATGTTAAAATAGATATACTTAGAATTAATTACAGATCAGTCAGCCCCTAACAATAGCATTTAGAAAGTGCTTTATCCAGCTTCAAATAACAGGACTCAGGTAAATGTTACAGCCTACCTTGTTTAGTTTAATAAGGTAGAGCTAAAATAATGCTTTGAAATCTAGAATATCCTCGGTTCAGGACTAAGTTCCCTTTTATACTGAGGTTCATTTCATATCACCAATTTTTACTTTATTAGTAGATTTATTCTAGGAAATACTGTTTTCTACAAAAGTTCTACTTTCATTGGGAATGAGCAGATTAAATTTAGGAGAAATACCTGAGTGTGTTGTTCTTATTTTTAAGTTTAGTAAACTATCTGGAAGTATTACTATCTACATTTTATTCTTGAGTTTCTAAATATATGGGCAAATTTTCAAGGAATTCTTTTGTGTATTTTTTGTTGTATTCCTTAGGCTCATGTAAAAGTCGTTCAATATTTGGTGAAGGAAGTCAATCAGTTCCCTTCTGATATAGAATGCATGAGATACATAGCAACAATTACAGATAAGGTAGGTTGAATATGCTATTGAAGCACATTTTTGTTCTTTGTGAAATTATATGCCAAAGTGTACGATTACCAACACGTTCTTCTTGTCCTCTGTGAGACTGCTGTTTTGATCTTCCTGTGCTTTAGTTTCTTCATTTGCAAATGAAGAATGGGTATAATTCTTTTGATAAATTATTTTGAGATTTCCTTCCTATTATGGACCATAATTAAAATGACAGCAGTTAAACTTTATTAACTAGATTATTAGCCTAATTAGGAAGTTTGCTAAGAACACATAATCTTTTTAGGAAATGGTGCCTTATTTTGATGAAAGATTGATAAATGATTAGACTCAAAGGGTAGCTCAAAATAGTGTAGTGAATTTTCAGTTGTTTGACCTTTAAGTCCTGAACTTTGGTGTCCTCATCAGCTCAAGTTTTAGACGGCCTGTTTAAGTTATGTGCTCCTTTATTTATATAGTTTCATTTTCCACTATAGGAACTGTTGAAAAAATGTCACCAGTGTGTTGAGACAATTGTGAAGGCTAAAGACCAGCAGGCTGCAGAAGCAAATAAGAATGCAAGTATTCTTTTAAAGGAACTTGATCTGGAAAAGGTGAGTGGGAAAAATAATTTTTCTTATTAAAAATTATTGAAAATCTGCTAGAATAGATTTGCCTCCTATATGACCAATAATCTTAACAAAATCTCTTTCAAAGGAAATGATTAACAGATTATCAAACCACCATCCATTTTTTTAATTTTTACCTATTGTTCATAAAAAAAATTGAGTCAGATAAGTGGGGACTGGTTTTTGAGCAGATCACAATTTACTGCGTGACATTACTTCTTAAATGGCTTTAAATTAGTCTGAGAAGAAATTCAGTAAAACATTGGAAGTTTTTTGTTTATTGCTATATCTGTGATAGAAGTGCTTAATTACATCCTCAATTAAAACTAAATGTCTACTATCCTAGGATGTGTGGTATAATGGGAAAAGTTAAAAAAAAAAGATTGCATTTATGAGGCTCAGTCTGGTTACCTAGGAAATAAGGGTGTTATTGAATCCAGAAGTTATATTAAAAGAATAAACACTCCATGATCAGATAGAGTTATTATAGGCATGTAAGAGATAGCTCAACATGAAGATATTTTGTTGAGGATTAAAAGAAGAGAAAAAATATGATAATTTTGAAAGATGCTAAAATTTTCATATCAATTCTTAGTTTAAAAAAACATTCATAGGCTAAGAACAGAAAAAAAGTCTGTTTACAAATCAATGCGGAAAAGATAACTTGCCCAAAGTCAAAAAGAATCACACAAATGGGCAATTCATAGAAAAAGAAATATAGATGTTCCATAAATAGATGGAGAATACTCAACTTCATGAATAAACAAAGAAATGCACAGCAAAAGTGATTTAATTTTTTTTTTTGTACCATACTGGCAAAGCTTAAAATTTAAAGGTTTGATAATAGCAATTGATAGCAAGGGATGTGTGGTATAATGGAGAAATTAGCACTTAATATGATTTTTCATGTATGGTGTAAATTAGTATGACTATTCATAGAGATGCTTTGACAAATGAATTAATAAAAAGAATGAATTAATGGTCTTCTTTAATACCATGCCACCCATAGAAATTCAGCCTAAGGTAAATAATTAAACAAATGCTCAAAGATGTGAATGTATGAGGACAGCTTTGTTGCATTGCTTATAATGGAGGGAAAGTGTAAACCTTGAAGTCTTTTCATTAGGGTATTAAATTTTAGTACCTACATGATAAACTTGGTTACAGTTAAAAGGAAAAGGGAAAAAAAAGTTACATTCATTTTAAAAATCAAGTGAAGTTTGAAGTTAGGTGACTACTAAGGTCCCTTCCACATCTGTAATTTTTATATTTGTGTAACTACCCAGGGATTTTGTCAACTATTCCCTAAATAGTCAATTTGCTCTTATGCAAACAAAGTGATTAAATAATTTTTAGTTGAATATGCAGTCTCTTCTTTCAGTTCCCAGCTCTTCTCATTTACATAGGTGGTTGACACACTTTTTCTATAAAATGCCAAATAGTAAATATTTTAGGCTTTGCAGGCCATGTGGTCTCTGTCATAATTCCTCAGTTCTGTCACTGTAGCATGAAAGCCACTTGTAGACAATAGCTAAATGGATGAGCATGGCTGTGTTCCAATAGAACTTTATTTATGGACACTGGAATTTTGTATAACTTTACCGTGTCATGAAATCTTTCAATTTTTTTTGTTTCAACCATTTAAAATGTAAAAGCCAATCCTAGTTTCAGGCCATATAAACACAGGCAGAAGACTGGATTTGGCATTCAGGCCATGGTTTGCCAACCCACGATTTAGGTCAAAAAAGTTTTTGAATAATAATGAACTTATACCTTAAGATGATAAATTTTAGTTTTGAGGAAAATGCTTTACTTAATTACCAAGAGACTAGAACTCCATAGACAAATTCTAATGATAATTAGACAAACTCCATAGACAGATTTCTAATGGAAATTATGTTTCTGGATGTGTTTTCTACTCTTTTCAAACTTTCATTATGATTCTAGGCAACTATTACCATTTTCCCCCTTCTGGAAAAAAAAGAAAAGATTCTTTCTATTAACCAAAGCAAAACCTGAAGGTTATCAGAATTATGTATGTGAGTTTAAAACATTATATAAGAGAAAAAAACCTTCTGTAGGAGCCTTTGTCAGTATTTTTACAGTGAGATTTGTTAGTATTTTATAAAGATCATGATACCTGCACTTCAGATGCCACATATATGTATTTTTTAACAGCTTGACTAAGATTTAATTCATATACAACTCACCTTTTTAAAGTATACAATTCAGTGGCTTTTAGTATGTTCACAGAGGTGTGCAACCATCACTATAGTCAATTTTAGAACACTTATTATCCCAGGTAGAAACCCCTCACCTCTTAAGTATCATCCCTCACCTCCTTCAATCTGTCTATCCTAGGTAACTACTAATCTACTTTTTGTTTGTATGGATTTACCTATTCTGGACATTTCCTATAAATGGAATCATACAGTATTTGGTCCTCTGTGACTGGCCTCTTCATAATGTTTTCAAAGTTCATCCATATTGTAACATGTATCAATATTTCATTTTTTCAGTTGTTGAATAATATCCCATTATACAGATATATCACATTTTGTTTATCCATTATAATTGATGGACATTAGGTTGCTTCCACTTCATAGGTGTATACAAGTTTTAGGGGTTTTTTTCATATGAATGTTTCATGAATTAGCATGTCGACCTTGCATGGGGCCATGCTAATCTTCTGTGTATTATTCCAATTTTTTTAGTGTATATGCTGCTGAAGTGAGCACTGTGTATAAATTTTTGCATACATGTTTTCCTTTCTCTTGTATATAACTAGGAATGGAATTGTTAGATCATGTGGTAATTCTGTGTTTAATCATTTGAGGAACTGTCAGGTTGTTTTCCAAAATAGCTGCACCATCTTACATTCCTGCCAGCAATATATGAATATTTTAATTTCTTCACATCCTCTCCAACACTTGTTATTATCTATCTTTCTGCTTACAGCCATCTAGTGGGTGTGTGAAGTGGCTTATTGTGATTTTGATGTGCTTCTCCCTTATGGCTAAACATCTGTCCCTTCGTGTGTTTATTGGCTTTTGTGTATGTTCTTTGGATAAATGTCTGCTCAGATCCTTTGCCCATTTTTAAATTGAGTTACTTGGCTATTCATTATTGACTTGTAAAAGTTCTTTACATATTCTTGATAGAAGTCCCTTACCAGATTTATGATTTGCAATTTTTTTTTCCTATTTTGTGGGTTGTCTTTTTACTTTCTTGATGGTGCCTTTGAAGTGCAAAACCTTTTTATTTTGATGATATCCAGTTTACCTATTTTTTCTTTTGTTGCTTTTCTCAATGTGTTTTGATACTGACATCCATGGGAAGCTCCATGTATCATAAACAAAAGTACCCATTTTTTATTTTAAGTAGTTGCATTACTGGTAATGATAAACCTACTGTGTTTACAGTCAAGAGAGGAGAGCAGAAAGCAGGCTCTTGCTGCTAAAAGGGAGAAAAGAAAAGAAAAGAGAAAAAAGAAAAAAGAGGAACAGAAAAGGAAGCAGGAAGAAGATGAGGAAAACAAACCTAAGGAGAATTCAGAACTACCAGAGGATGAAGATGAAGAGGAGAATGATGAAGATGGTGAGATATGACTTATCCAAATTAGTAACAAAATTCTCCTGTGCTTATCAGTTTCATTCTGAGTGCTTCTGACTACAATTAAGTACTTGATTACTTTCATCGGAAATTAACAACTGACTTTTATAGTAAATATTTCTAAATATTTTGCATTGTAAAGTGATAAAGAAGAGGGAAGGCAAGCACATAATCTGAAGTTAGTTGTAATTTAAGTCATCCTGTAAAGCATCATGTCTGTCTAAAAGGAATTGAGTAAGATGTTTGCCAGCATCTCTTCAGGTTCTTACCTACTGTCCCCTCCCTGGCTTAAAAACTGGGGAGAGGTCTAGTTCCTCAATAAATTTTTAGCTGAGGTCAAGGCTCAAAGCTGTAGCAGGGCTGGGGGGTTCTTACTGTCAAAGAGCTATTTTTTGTACAGTCTGGCAGTGCTTGTAGTTGGCAAATAATTCTGTTCTATTTGAATTCTAATTCTAAAATACTTTGAAAATTTTCTAAATGCAAACTATATTGTGATTTTTAGTTCATGGGACTAGCATTTCAGGTCTCAAGAATGTTAATCGTATGAGTGTTTTATACCATGTTAGATATCAAAATATGATATATTTGTTCTGACTACAATAAATATTCTTTTTTTACTAGTGAATACTGGTATTCACTAGTAAAAAAAGGGACTGAAGTATTATGAATCATTAGGTCTATTCTGTCACAATTTGTTTTGAGATCTGTGGCTCTCAATGTGATTTTTATCCTTTTGATAATTTCAGTGGAGCAAGAAGTTCCTATAGAACCTCCTAGTGCAACCACCACCACCACAATTGGAATCTCTGCAACATCTACAACGTTCACGAATGTGTTCGGGAAAAAAAGGGCCAACGTGGTGACAACCCCCAGCTCCAATCGGAAAAATAAGAAGAATAAAACAAAAGACACCCCTCCCACTGCACATTTAATATTACCAGAACAGCATATATCCTTAGCACAGCAAAAAGCAGATAAAAATAAAATAAATGGAGAACCCAGAGGTGGTGGTACAGGTGGAAATAGTGATTCAGATAACTTGGACAGCACAGATTGCAACAGTGAGAGTAGTAGTGGTGGTAAAAGCCAAGAGTTAAATTTCACCGTGGATGTGAATTCCTCTAGTGACAGGAGATACCCCTCACTGCTGCTCCATTCCCAGGAAGAAAAGACGAATACTGCCTCTTCCAAAACTCAGACACGGTAAATTTTTCTGATTTGTTAACTCTACATCCACCTTTCCTTTTTCATACCTGGCACAAGAATTTGAAGCACATTCTTCAGACACAAGTTCTATTAAACATCTTAAGTCTACCACATTATCTGTCTTCAGTATTCAAAACTGAAATTCACCAATGTCCTAATCATGGTGCTAGTTATGAAATGAGAGTATTAGAAATTTTTATGATTCCATTTTGAAGTTGAAAATATTAGCATACCTTGATCTTATTTTATTACATCATTTCGATTGATTATAAACCAACTTGCGGCTTCTGAATCTATGTTAAAACTAAAATATATAATGGACTCTTGGCCCTATTTCTGTTTTTCTGAACTGGGCATAATTTGATGTGCCGAGTTTCAATTCAAAAGCCAAAAATTCAGCATAACGTCTATAAAGGAATAGTCTTTTAGTTTCAATCTTAAAATTTATCTTTTATTGGACTTGATATTTCTCTCTTCTCAGACTTGAAGGTGAAGTGAATCCTAATTCCTTATCAACGAGCTACAAGTCAGTGTCATTGCCATTAAGTTCTCCAAACATAAAGCTGAATTTGGCTAGCCCCAAAAGGGGCCAAAAAAGAGAAGAGGGCTGGAAAGAAGTTGTACGAAGGTGAGTAGACTTAGTCTGATCTTTTTAACTTTCATAGACACATAGCCTCCTCTTGCAAGATGGCTCCCCAATTAATTAATGAATAACTTGAATGTAGTTATTTTAAACTGCAGTGCTATGATAAATCCTGGATAGACTAAAGCAAAATAACAAAAATATTTTATTAAAACATTAGATTTACAGACATTTCCAGACAGACCATACAAAATGATCACAAGCTTCTCAAAGGGATGATTCGACATGTAATGGCAAAGTCACAGTGTTAGTAGTGAAGGTTATAAATATTTGTTCAGTGGCCCCGTCTTGGTTCAATCGAGCTTGTCCATCTACAGCATTTTAATAAACTTAAACTTGGCTAGAGATCATATTCTAAAGAACTGTTTAACTACTTTTAACCAATGCAATTAATATCAGCAGAGGGGGAAAGGAGCCCATAAAATTAAAACTACCTTCACCCTCAAGAGAAAGAAAGAAAGAAACATCCACACCCGTGCACCTAACCCTGATAACTACCTTTATTCACACAGCTTTATACTTAAACCATGATGAGGGAAATGAATAAAAGCAGAGAGGGCCACTGCTTATAAATGTCTTCATGATCCAGATGATACTTTTAGCCTCTGCTCATGCTTACCACAGGGAATCAGGACAACACATGGATTTCCTAATGTACATTTAATCACCAAAGGACTGAGATATCATTCTATAATGTTTCTAAAGATTATATCCATTAAATGCAAACAAAAAAGAAAGAAGTCTCGGCAGAAAGAAATGAAGCATACTTGATCAGATTGATTTAAGTATTATTCATGGTATATAGCTTAGTCCATGCTCTATCTTTCAAAATATCTAAATAAATCCTTCCCAACTTGTCTACATTAAAGTCATAAATCATGATCATGAAATGTATGTTAGGGGCTGCCATTGGGTATTCCTCTGGATATAATAGTTCAAATTTGAAGGTCCCTCCTTTAAAGGGAGAATTCTGGGCCCAGCAGTGACTACATGAAGATGACATGTTGGTTATTGCTCTCATCTGGTTCTGCTTTAATGCTGAGAGCTGGTTCTGCCAGCAAATACTGGGGTTCCCTTGGTAATTCTGTGGGGCAGTCAGGCCATCTTGTTAGATCCCAAGGTCTGCCACTGGTCTCTCTAGCTCCACTCACTTCACACACAAGTAGAAGGCCCTGGCTCCTCTTGTGAGTTGCATTTCATGTAGTTCAAATCTGAGGCTTTATTTCTTATTGTCAAGTATAAGTTGTTGATACTGATAAGCTAGCCTCTATTCAGTATGAAGTTTAACAATATGGTACGCATTATTTTAATTTAGAAAGAGTCAACACGTATGATTTTTGCAGTTTAGTTGATGTCTATTATTTTGTGCAGCTTTAAATGCATTGGTTACTTAAATATAATTTTGTCTTAAATGGCAATATAATTTTATTTTCACTAAAGTCAATATGATAAGAGGTCAGTTTCTAAAATAAAAATTTCTGATAATTTCCTCTTTAAAGTTGAGAAATATTATTCCACAAATGTCAATGAACATACTTAAACGTACTGAGACATCTTTTTTAATAAAGACATGTACTATTCAAAGACATTTGCTTTCATAATCATACATAGTCTTTTATTTATAGGTCAAAGAAATTGTCTGTTCCAGCCTCAGTGGTTTCCAGGATAATGGGAAGAGGAGGCTGCAACATCACTGCAATACAAGACGTTACTGGTGCCCATATTGATGTGGATAAACAGAAAGATAAGAATGGCGAGAGAATGATCACAATCAGGTATTTGTGGAAAATGGATATTAGTAATTCTATGTAGAAACCAAATTTTATTAGAAGCATACTTTTGTTTGGTATGGTACAATCAAGAATTTTATCTCGTGGCTTAAGATTACTTAGGTTTCTTTGCTGTTTGTTTTTTATCTTGTTTTTTTCATTTGTTTTCTCCCCAGGGGTGGTACAGAATCAACAAGATATGCAGTTCAGCTTATCAATGCGCTTATTCAAGATCCTGCTAAGGAACTGGAAGACTTGATTCCTAAAAATCATATCAGAACACCTGCTAGCACCAAATCCATCCACACGAACTTCTCATCTGGAGTAGGCACCACAGCAGCTTCCAGTAAAAATGCATTTCCCTTGGGTGCTCCAACTCTTGTGACTTCACAAGCCACAACGTTATCTACGTTCCAGCCCACAAATAAACTTAACAAGAACGTTCCGACAAACGTACGTTCTTCTTTCCCAGTTTCTCTACCCTTAGCTTATCCCCACCCTCATTTTG